TGTGCTCGCCAGAAAGACAGAGAGAGACAGAGAGACAGAAAGCGAGAAATCACCCTCCAGGGGGGATGGCCACGCCGCAATCCCTTCTCCTCCATTCCCTTCTTGGGATCTTGGGCACACATGCACGCACATGCACCCGACATGAGCTTAAGCCACTGGTCCAGGACTCGGACCACGGTCGACTACATGGGAGTTCAGCGACATAGCCATTATGCTAACTGCTGGTCTCAAGCATTCCCCCAAACCTCTGGGACAATACTAAGTCCAATTTAAATATTTCGAGTCAACTATGTACTATCAAGAGCCCCGTGTATTTATATCTCATAATAATAAAAACTACAAATAATCTAAGACCATGTTCCTAGGAGGGTCTTTATAAAGATGTTATAATGGCCAGCCATGTAGCCTGGTGGTTAAGGAAGTCAGATCCCGCAAGGCCAACCATGGTTTGAATCCTGGCCCCAGTGGCTTAAAAAATACACTGGGTAGATATAAATGCAATGAACAAAATCCTGACAAGATGGAAGTGTCAGAACGGGGTTGTGGAGTGACCATGACCCACTGGCGGCTGCTTTCTCCCTCTTTCTCTGGCAAGTGTGCACACTGAACAATCGAAAGAAATACATATGTTATGAGTGTAATTGAAGCTGGATTGTCACGTCGGATATGAAATAAATTTATGTGAACATGACACACCCACGAGGAAGGCATGGTTAGACAACGTCTGAACATTGCCCTTTTTCCTAGTACACAAAGCACGTCTTTTGCATGGCAATGTCCTCTCCTCCATTTTTAAAAGAATTATTTTTAAAATTAGATTTATTATTATTATTACTATTATTATTATTATTATTTGGCCAGAGAGACACAGAGAGAGAGAGAGAGAGAGAGGAAGAATGAGAGAGGAAGCCATCAAATTCAGGACTCAAACTGTAGTCAGCCATGTGGGAGTCCAGAGCCCTAACTACCACACCACTTGCTGCCCCCCCCTTCATCTTTAAGAAATAGAAAAAGGACAGTCTGACCTTCTTGCACCTGTCGTTTTTCAAGTGCCTTTAAGTTAGTCAATATACCAACGTGATATTTTTAAAAATTTATTTACTTCTTCAGAGAGACAGAGCAACTCCCAACAGGGCCTTCCTGTTGTGATACACCCCAGCCTTGGCCAGCCAGGATCATGGGCACCCAAGTGCTGAGTGCTCTGGGAGATTCTGGAAAGTGACTCTAGGACCTTTCTCATATGGCTCCAGTTGCATTACCACAGTGCTACCACCCGGTTCCAAGGTGGGGGTGCGTTTGTGTGTGCATATGTGTTATCAACCATAGAGCATATGTGCACACATGAAAGAGAGAGAGATTGAGGGGAGGACCACACTCCACACGGCTTGGTCATATCCTGATCTCCTTCTGTTGTCTCCAACCTGCCAGAATCCTGCGTACATGAACATGCAACCAGAGTGTCCTCATGGTGACCAGACTGAGAACTTGAACCATAGTCAGTGTGTGGCTTCCAGCTCCAATTGGGTACACTGCCAACTGAGCCACAGAGGCTATGGCCCCGGGTGGTATATTTTAAACTCCTGTCCTGCCTCCTTGCTAGCTGGTTCTGCAAACAAAACTCTCTCACTTCAAGATGGGCTGTCACAGTGACTGGTAGTTATACACATCAGGCAGCAGACTCTCCTCTTTGTAACAACTGAAGTTCTGCTGCCCCTTTATTTTACCAGTAACCTGTGTGTTATAAACCCCAGAAGATGGGGGTAAGCCCCCAGGCTCTGGTTTTAGGTAGGACTCCAAAACCCAAGGCTGATATCCACCAGGAGGCGCTGCGGGCAAGCTGCTTGGCCTCTAGGTCTGTGTCAAACTAGAGATGGGGGCCTCATCAGTGGGGTGGGTCAGATGCCTCTGGCGGGGCTTTGATGAGTACTGCCCTCCCTCCAAGGCCTTACCCACTTGCACTTCTGTGTGGCTACAAAGATGAAGACCGCCTCTCTCCTCAGCACTCCTAGGGTTCTGGTGAGCAGCCTGGAGACACCTAAGGGGTTGATAATAAATGGAGAAAAATTAAGAGTCAGTACAGTCATCTGTCACAATCATCCTGTGCCCATTCCTCCATCCGGATCTGTATTCCTTTCTCTTTTTCTTTTTTTTTTTTTGAGAGTTTTTTGCTATAGGGCGCATGTGCTCACCAGACAGACAGAGAAAGACAGAGAGACAGAAAGCGAGAAATCACCCCCCAGGGGGGATGGCCACACTGCAATCCCTTCTCCTCCAGTCTCCTCTCGGGATCTTGGGCACGCACGCACACGTGCCTGGCGTGAGTTTAAGCCACCTGGTCCGAGACTCGAACTGCAGTGGACTACATGGGAGTCCAGCAACATAGCCATTGTGCTAACTGCTGGTCCCTTTTTTTTCTTTTTTTGGAGAGGTTTTTGCTATAGGGCATGAGTGCTCACCAGACAGACAGAGAGAGACAGAGAGACAGAAAGTGAGAAATCACCCCCCAGGGGGGGATGGCCACACTGCAATCCCTTCTCTTCCATTCTCCTCTTGGAATCTTGGGCACGCACACACACGCACGCGACTGGTGTGAGTTTAAGCCACCAGGTCTGGGACTCGAACTGCGGTCGACTATGTGGGATTCCAGCGTCATAGCCATTACGCTAGCTGCTGGTCCCATCTGGATCTGTACTTCTGTCTCAGATTAATTAAGCACATGTTCAAGTTGCTGCATGAATGAAGAGTGAGTTGCTTCTTTGGTTTGTACCTGGCTGTGAGGGCTGCCCATCCCTCTTCCTGACCTTCTGTCTGGGCTGCACGAAGAGCCGAGCCTGAGGTCAGATAGCTAAGGGCCTCCCGGGCTCCTGCTTCCCTCTTCCTGCCCCATCACTCAACTCTGGTGTCCACCTTCAGTGTGAGCAGCATCATGTCTTTCCAGCTCCATGTGGATCTGGAGTTCTGTACAAAGGACAGCATAGCACCCACGAGCACACGATGGACTACATGACAAACTCAGAACAGGATGTCCTCCTGTCTCATATGTACAACAAATCCTGGAGGTTAAGAGCAGTGACCTTTTTCCCCCCAAGTTCATTTACTTTATTCATGATAGAGCACATGCATGAGAGAGAGAAGCACTCTCAACAGGTCTCATCATGCTTGCACATACCTGGCTATCACACTGAATCCCCCTTCCCTGGCCCTCAAGCTCACCAGGGTCTTAGGCATGCACACACACCCTGGCATGTTTTCAGGCCAACTTGGAGCTCTGAACCCAAGTCAGCCATGTGGCTTCCAACACTACAGTTCAGTCTGCTACCAACCAACAGCGCCACCAGGCTGGGCTGCAATTATCTTTAAGATGGGATCTGGAAGGCCCAGGAAATGAAATAACTTGGCAAAACTCACACTGTCAACAGGATACAGAGTCAGTGTTTCAATCTGGCTCTGAATGCACCCAGAGTCGACATCAACTCTGAGGCACTTTCTCTCAGTGCGTCTCACAGGGCTCCTCCAGAGACTGGGGGTCTCTGCCTTGGCACAGTGAGGCACTCTCCTCCTCTGGGCATCCCCAAGCCCCGGCAGCTGACTGCTGCTCTCGTCCTCACCGCTAGTAGTCATCAGCTCATCCTGGGCCAGTGCCCACCAGGTGGGGCTCTTCAGGGCATGGGCTATCTGTGCCTACCACCAAGCCCACAAAGGAGAAAGGCCTGCATACAGAAAATGCAACTGCCCTGAGCTATGCAGTCCTTTGGGTTCTGGTCTCAACTCAGCCAGAAACTGATGGTACAATTTGGACTCCCAGCTATAGAATAAGGCTGGAGCAGGAGATGGAAACCAGCACAGATCTAGAGGCTGCAGAAAGGCAGGCCCTGCGTCTTTGCTTCTCGGGGAATTAGTCTTCAATTCTTTCTTTCCCCTTCCCCTTCCCCTTCTCCTATTTCATGGTGCTGCTGTCAAGACTGCCACTCCAGAAAGGGCCACCCCGAGCTGAGTGATTGCTAGGTGTCAAAGCAATCAGCTTTCTTCTTAGACTTGGTTCCACCTCTTCATGGCTTTATAGTATTTTTTTCCCTGTCCTGGATGGCAGATAAAATCTTAGGGGGTGAACATTTAATTTAAACAAGGCTTCCACAGAGGTAACTATGGGTAGTTACACCCAGTTTTCACAAGCCTGGTTCTTGATGCAGTAACCAAGAGGCCTCCGCAAGACAGCAGATGAGGATACTACGTAAAGAGGTGCTGGGGAAAATGAAGGGGGCTCTCTTTTGAAGATGAAGATGGTTGCTAGGTAGATGGCCTCCTTAAAACTACTGAATAAGTTAAAGGATTTTTCTAATTTTTCCTTAATTAGGCTTGTTTTCCAGGCCGGGATGATGAGAAGGTAAAACAGAGAAGGGCAGTTTTAGAATGGAGTGAATCATACTAAAATGATCTGAAGGGAGACAGACCTAACCTCTGTCCACTGTGTGGACCCCACAGCTCACAGTTGTGCGATGCCCACCTGCTCAGCCCCCATGCGGTTAGGTGACCCTGCACTGACCAAGCCCCCAGATCCTCCCAGACACCTCCACAGGAGCTCTTAAAAAGTGCTAGGCACGAAAAGTATCTACTATGGTTCCTTGCACACAGTCAGCCCTCAAAAAGTAACTTAGTAAGTTCCTGGGGTTGGGTCCCACATGGTCAACCACAGTTCAAATCCCAGCCCCACTGGCTTGAAAAACACAACAGACGTGTGTGTGTATGTGTGTGGGTGGGTATGCACACACACACATGCCCAGTATCCTAACAGGAGGGAAAAATGGAGGAGAAGGGATTGTGGCATGATACCCCATTGGGGAATGCTTTCTCCTTCCCTCCTTCTCCCCCTCCCTCCCTCTTTCTCTCTTTGGCATGTGCATAAGCCCTCTGGCATAAGGAAGAAAATATAAACACTTCCTGGGAAAAGATGACACAGCAGTAACACAGTTGGACCTGCACCACAGGGAAGGTCCCAGGTTCGCATCCCAAGGTCTCCCGGTAAGGACTGGACTTGCGCCCGTGTTCCTGGCTGTTGAGGCTTGGGGTGGATCGCAGCATGATGACCCTGTTGGGGGAAGTGCTATCTCTCTTTCTCTCTCTTTCTCATGGAAGAAATCAATAAACTTATTAAAAGAAACTTCCTGCCTCTGAAGGTGAGAATGAGATGTCACCCCCATTAAACACCACCTCAAGCACTGAACTCCTTCGTGGCCAAGTGCAGTTCAGTTCTGAACCTGGTGGCTTGCTTTCTTGATCTCTCTATCCCTCTGTCTCTCTCTGGTGAGCATATGCACCCTATAGCAAAATTTAAAATAATAATAATAATAATAATAAATAAAAATAAATAATTCTTTCTTTCTTTTCTTTTTTTTTTTGAGTGCACATGTATGCACTTAATACTCAGAGATACAATGGATGCCATCTCAGAGCAGGTTCCTGAGATTTCAAAATAAATCTTTTCAATGAACAGGGAAGGGGGATATGTGAAAGGATAATTTAAACACAAAGGTGTCAAGAGGTGCTGGCTGTGCTGGCTTTTGCCTCCTCTTTGTGACCATGTGTTGTTCAAGGCTCGAGCACTCTCTCACTCAGAGGCAATCATGGCTGAGGAATGAGTGGAGTCACCCGTTTGAGTGACATCACAGGTCTTTTTTTTTTAATTTAAAGAATTATTTTAATTTTATTTATTCATTCATTTATTTTAATTTGACCAGAGAGAGAGAAAGAGAGAGAGACAGCGAGAAAGCAAGCCACCAGATCTGGGACTTGAACCGTGGTGAGCCATGTGGGAGTGTCCAGTGCCTTAACCAGTAAGTACACCACCTGCTGGTCCCCCACCATAGATCTCTTAAAATCACCTCAGAGAAAGTTTCTTTTCTGCTTTTTTCTAAAAATTAAAAAAAAAATTTTTTAAGGGAGATTTTCACTATAGGGTACATGTGCATGCCAGAGAGACAGAGAGACAGAAAGTGAGAAATCACATCCACTAGGAAGGATGGCCACCTACGATCCCTTCTCCTCCATTCTCCTCTTGGGATTTTAAGCACACATGCATACACATCCAGTGTGAGTTTTAACACCGGGTCTGGGACTCAAACCGCCTCAAATACATGGGATATAACCATTATGCCACCTGCTGGTCTCAACCACAGAGAAAGTTTCTGAGCAGCATGGAAAATGAGGGCACATATGAGCTAACTAGAGGAGGGGCAGCAGGACTCTCATCCCAAACGGGGTGCGGCTCAAGTCCTAGCTGACCACATGGGGGCCTCAAGAACTGTCTCAGTGGCCTCCACAGGGCCCCAGTTCCCTGGGAGGACCTGATGCTCCTTTCTGTTACAGACGCAGGGCTTGCAGGTAGGGCAGGGCCTAGAGATGCAACTCCCTGCTCAGCACAGCAGGAGAAGCCACCAACAGCTGATCTACATCAACCAAATAAATACTGACAAGCTGGAAGCTGCTGAGACCTCCTATTGAAAACGATCAGGTAAGTAAGAAAAACAGTGTGGTCTTTACTGGGGTCCAGAGCTGGACTCTAACACTGGCTTCCAGGAGGACATGGCCTTGAATGGCTGCTGGAATGATGGCTTCCCTTTTGCTCATTTCACTGCCTGGGAGGGTTAGCTTTGGGTGTGGACTTGGCTGCACTAAGGAATATCTAGAAGGTTGGTCAGGCTATTCTGAGTGGGACTGTCAGATGTTTCCAGAGGAGATTTTCAATGATTGAGCCTGAGCAAGGGCAGTAGGGAAGACCCACCCTTGATGTGGGTGGCACAAGCCCATCAGCTGGGGCCTGAGCGCAACTGCAGAAGATCAGACAGACTTCTGCCACCTCTGATTGCGGAATGCAAGGCTTGCCCCAGACTCCAAGACTCACCAGAGGTCACCCAGGTTCTCAAGCCTTTAGCCTTAGGATGAGAGTTCAACCATTGGTTTCCCTGCCTCTGAAGCCTTCAGACTCGGACCTATCCATGCTCCCAGCATCCCTGGTGCCCCAGCTTACAGGTGGCTTGTTGTGGGACCCTTCAGCCTCCACACTCATGTGAGCTGATTCCCCTAACAAATCCCTTCAGATGTAACTACAGACATTTCCTGGCTCTCTGAAGAACCATGGCTAGTACATGGCCCCATCTAATTGCTTACATCAAACACTGGAAATTCTATGTATCAGGGATTCCAGACACCCACCATCACCACCTCCAAAGTAAGATTAGGTCCTGAAAGATCCTCAAAGAACACTGTGACGTTTGATGCACCTGCATTAGTTTTAGAGTCTACAGAATGAAAATATAAACAACTTGGGTTGTAAACAGATTGTGGTGGTCCTGCTGTGGAAGATGAAATTAGGAGAGGAAAGATGACACACACATACACAGACATACACCACATATACACACACACATACACACCACACATATGCACATACCACACTCACTCCATACATGCCAACACAACATACACACATATGTACACACACGCCAAACACTCCCCCCACATCCCACATATCATACACACTACATACACACCCCACACATACACCTTGCACATCACATACAATAACACATCCCACACATACACATCCCACACACTCACCACACACACAGAAACACACGCACACACTTTAGGCCTAGTTCCATGCTGCAGTAGGTATGGTAGAGCCGAAAAAAACCCTGTGATGTCTGCAGATGAGACCAGCCTCTGCGCATTAGGTACTCAGAAGACCCCCAAAGGCCTCAGCTTCAGAAACCATGTCTTGATGCTGAGTACAATGACTGACACCCCCATGAGCTGTGGAGGTGCACAGATGGGGCGAGGCGTGTCAGCAGCTCCCTCTCCTCAGCTGCTCTCGTCCCTCCCTCAACAAGGTACTTCCTTGCGGTTCCCCATTGAGAATAGTGAACGCCACATAATGCCAAATCCAGGGATTGGGAGCTGGCAGAAGCAAGGGAGTTTGGAACGAAGCAAAGGTGAGTATAAGAGGGCAGCAGGTGGCGTGGTGGTTAAGTTGCTGGACTGTGGTTTGAGTTCCAGACCTGGCAGCTTGCTTTCTCACTTTCCCTCTCTCTCTCTCTTTCTCTGGTGCCCTAGAGCAAATTAAAAAAAAATAATAATAATAAATAAAGTCAAATATATAATTTTTTAAAATGAGTGTAAAACTTAAGAAACAACTCTGTAGCCATAGTCAGGTCATGGCAGCAGCAGGTCCCAAGGCTCAGGGACCATTGTGGCCAACCCTGCTCATCACCCAACACTCCTTACCACTTGGCTTCTTTCTTTTTCTAAGTTTCTTTTTTATTTTTTCTTTCCATGAGAGTAGGAGAGAAACAGACACCCCTAATCATGTCTTCAGCCACAGCATTCACGCGCCTGGCTCCAAACTCCGCATCATAAAGCGTTGTATCACTGCCATTCCACTAAGCACCACTGCAGCATCCATATGTTTGACATGATGGCGACAACGCATAGGCAGACAGCAGGCCAAAAAAGGCAGGGTGTGGACAGCAATATCCCCTGGGGGGCACTGTTTCAATCAATCTCAGCTGAGGTCCTCAGGTTCTCTGGATGAAAAATCTGGGGGTGAGGAAGTGAAGGAACCTGCCAAAGTCCCCAGCTAGGACATGGGGTCACATCCAGATCCATGATCTGACTCCAAGCTCATGCCAGGTGGACGAGGTCTGCACCCACAGGCAACCTTTGTGCCAGGCAGTGACAACGAGGCTTCATGTGGGTTCTCCCCACATCCCAGAGGCAGGATACCTTGCTGGTCCTGGGCCTGGGGAAGGGACCATGTCACACCTCTAGCAGCCTGCTGTCAACAGAGCTTAGGTGTCATGTGGCCTCAGCACAACATACACATGCAGGGTGTGGAGGATGAGGCAGAAAGAAGATCCGTGGCCAAGGCCCTAGAAACTCCTACGGTGCTGCAGTTTCCCACACCAGGAACCAACAGAGAAGCCCACCTTCACCTGGCTCACTGCCAGCACCAGCAGTCTGCCAACGGGGCAGCTTTGGTTTGCAGGAAGAGCAAAGGGCACATCTCAGGGAGGATGACAGCCACTTGCAGGGCCTCTCCACGGCCTTCAGGAGTAAATCCAGTCCCAGTGCAGAGTCCCATCTCTGAGTGGACCCTGCCAGGCCAGCTGCTCCTGCTGCTACACTTTGAGGCAGGAGGGCCTCCTGGTGACCCATATGGTGCTATCTATCATGTTGGAGATAAGAGCCTTTGTGACAGGAGGTGGAAAGGGTGGGAAAGATTTAGAATTTACCTAAATTAATATAAAAGTGAGCATTTTGGGGGTTAATCTTTGCTGCATCACAGGCCAGACTTGGGTATTCTAGTCACACTATGAAGAGGGTGGAGTTGGGTTAAAACTCTCTCCTGGCTCCCTTGCCTAGAGGGGATGGCCATGCCGTGGTCCCTTCTCCATCTCCTAGGATTTTAGGTAGGCACACAAATGATTTTCAAGCTGTCAGGTCTGTCTGAAACTCGAACTATGCAGTCAGCCATGTGGGATCCTACACCTTAACCACCAAACCACCTGCTGGCCCATAATTTATTTTACTATTATTATTTTAAGATACAATGGCTGTGATGAGCTGGTTCCATGACCTGGTGGTTAAGGCAACTGGGTCCCACATGGCCAACCTGGCACATGTGTGTGCCCAAAATCCCTATGGAGGGAGAAAAGAAGGAGAAAGAATTGCAGAGTAATCATATCTTATGGCGGTGCTTTCTCCTCCCCCTTTCTCTGTCTCTCTCTGTGGAGCACATGTGCCTTCTAAACAAAAGGTTTTGTAAAAAGACATGTATGACAAGGGCTGGCAGGTGGTGTAGTGGTTGGGGCGCTGGACTCCCTCCCACATGGTCAACTGCAGTTAGAGTCCCAGACCTGGTGGCTAGCCTTCTCACTTTCCATCTCTTGCTTTCTGTCTCTTTCTGGTGAATTAAATATAATAACAATAATAGATAAAATTAAGTAAATAACTATTAAATACAAGAGAGGAAAAAGACATAAGACAATTGTACATATTTGTGGAGTATGATGTGACTTTTCAGTTCAAGAATACAATGTATATTAAGTCAGAATAATTAGTATATCCATAATCTCAACCATTTGTCATTATTTTATGTTGGGAACACCCCAAATCCTCTTTTTTAGTACTATCAGATATAATTCTGTTTATGAATAGTTCTTGAACCCTAGCAACTCCTTAAAGATCATTCAAATAAAAGTCACCAAATAAAATAATCCAAATAAAAGACACGAAATAAATCATCCACAATAAACTACACCAAAGAGAGTGTATTCTCTCTTTTGAAAGAAAAAAAAATGATGCATTCTTTAAAATCGAGCTTACCAACGCCCCCAAGAACCGCAATAGCTCACCTGTCCTGGTCATCCAAAATGTTGGGGGCTGGCCAGTCACGGCCATTGCAGTCAGAGGACCAGCTCCCTCGGACGCCCCCTGGAGAACAAGGAAATGCAAGAGCTTAACATTTCCAACTTCCTTAGGCAACCTCATGCCAAGACAAATGGAGAGAAAACAAACTCCAATAATACTGTGCTAATCAAGACAACGTTTACTGTCCTAACACTTTCAAACAAGTGTTTGCTTATGAAGTGAGCTTTCAGTAGGGGTCTCTGTGTGACAGGTGAAAGTAACGGTTACTCAAGAGAGGTGTGAGAGCACAGAAGCTGAGTCTGTTGATAAAAGCCCTAAGTGGCCCCGACTGCATAAGGGCATGGTACAACCTCCAGGGAGATCAGTAAAGAGACTGTCAGGGAACAGTCAAGGCGTGCTCTGCCTTCTTTCTGCAACCCCTGACCTCCCCCCGAGACTCTAGAAGTGAGCTGGTCCCTGCAATTCATTTGCAGACCGAGTCCTCTCCATTATAGAACATTCTCTCATTTCTATGCATAAACCTGAAGATCATTATGCTAAGTGAAATGTATCAGGCACAGAAAGACAAATACACATGATCTCACTCGTTTGTAGAATCTAAGATAGTTGGTCTCATAGAAGCAGAGAGAAGAATGGGCTCACCAGAATTTGAGGTGGGCAAGAGGGAGGCGGTCACTGGGTATGAAGTTTCAAAAGGAGGAGCAAGTCCTAGAGTTCTATTATTGCACAGGAAAGTGACTACAGTTACCAAGAATATACTGTAGATTTCAAAATAGCTTTAAGAAAGGATTTTGGACGTTCTCACCACAAAGAAATGGTGAGATGATGCATATGCTAATTACCCTGATTTAATCATTACATTGTATACATGTATGGAAACCTCACATTGTATCCCATAAAGGCTTATAATTATTACACATCAACTTAAAGCAGAAATTAAAAGAGGGGCCTGCAGATAGCGTGGTGGTTGGGGTGCTGGACTCCCATGTGGTTGACTGCGGTTCAGGTTGTGAACCTGGCAACTTGCTTTCTTACTTTCTCTCTCTCTCTCTCTGGTCAAATAAAAATAATAGTAATAATAAATAAAATTAAGTAATTTTTAAAAGTAAAAGTGAAAAGAAATAAAGTATTTCTGAGTTTCCTTAATTCTTTACACCAACATATGAAACAAAACTCAGTTTTAGTTTGTATTTTACCTGAAAAACTAGATAATTGTTTAAGAACTGTTTTCAAATTTGCATTTCAGTGCAAAAGAGAGTAGTACTAACAAGAAGATGTTTTTTAGGCAGAAGCTCCTTCCCAGATGGGAACTCAAAAGGATCCCTAGGTGGTAATGAAAACGCCTTGGCCTCTCACAAATTTGTCCGAATCCTTTGTTTTCCTGAACTTTGCTGCCGCTCCATAGATGGTGAGTGACTAGGTCCTGCAGCCATCAGATGTAGGGGGTCTGCTATTGATGTCCTTTCTGGGGCGCCAGCCCCTGCAGTCTCCTCATCCTGCCTGTCCATGCCCCTGGTTTTCTCCTCACTGTGCTTGCTGTTGAAGTCTAAGAGACTGGAGGAAAATATACACTTCCCAGTTTCATTAGTGAGATGCTTTTAAATGTGCTTGTACACAAGGAAACATACTGCAGTGTTTGTAAGATAACAAGCCTCCTGTCTAAAGTCCCTGCGTTTGCTCTGATACCTTCTTGGAAAATCTAACACCTCCCTTCAAAGCTAGTCTTGGGGGGTCCTGGGTAAGAGAGCCACTGGGTGGTGGTGGAGGGGGCTTGCAGCCACACCACAGTTGGAGCCTAGGCCTGCTCATTTGTTTCCTTCCTTCCTTGTGGAACAGGATGCACTGAGAACAGGGTCCTACAATAAAAGGCTGCGACTCAGAGATGCTAACCAAAGACGCGAGGAAAGAACCGAGGGAGGTGGTGGGCCGTCATGGCCAATGGTGGGACACAGATCATGGCGGCTACTGGAGCTACATGAATTAGCAATACAGTGAAATAAAATGAAGACTTAGCTCCTCAGGGCCAGAATGCAGTGCAACAGTAAAACACGACACTCTCAGCATGACCCATGTGGGAAGGAGCCGGAGACTTTCCTGAGCGTGTGTCTATGATCCAGGCTAGCTGAAGCTGGGGGTCACAGGGCCAAGACCCTATTGGGGATGCTCTCCTCTGTCTCTGCCTCTCTCACTCATGGAAGAAATACATACTTTCAAGAAATGGGTTTCTCCATCATTGGCCATATTCAAGGACTTAAGAGCCAAGATCCAGGATGAAGTCGTCACAGAGGGCCCTGTGGCTGGCACTGGGCTGGGCAGCCTTGGCCCTCTTTCCAGGCAATGCTGTTGCATCGTGTCCTCAGGGTGGCTGCCTCCAGCTGAGGGCTTGTGTACCTGGTTCATCTACCCCTTGGGCCTGACTCCCCACACCTGGTGGCTGCCACACATGTCATTGGAGCACAACACAGAGCCGACTCACCAGGTCCCTCTCCAGGACTGAGGGATATGCCCCGAAGGTGGGGCTTAGATGTGATCTACAGAGTTTTGCAAACTACATTTTTGAAGAGAGACAGAGAGGGAAAGTGAGAATGTACCCAACCCCATCGAGGATTATCATGCCCCAATCCCTTCTCCATTTCTCCCTCCTCTCAGGATTTTGTTAAAAAAAAAAAAAAAACACCCAGCGTGTTTTTCAAACCACTCGGTCTGGGATTCAAACTGCACAGTTAGCCAAGTGGGATCTGCATGCCTTAACCATGTCACAGGTTGGCCCTTAAAAACTACTTTAAGTACAAATGTTCTGAGTAAAATGACTAAAAGCCTTGTAAAGTGGCCCCTTTTAAGAAACTACTCTCTAAACTCATTTAGAAACTGCCAAGGACTCAGTTAGGACCTTGTCCATCCTTTGACTTTCATTAAGGGGATAAAAGAACAAAATAAGAAATTGTGTCTTTGCATGAACCCAACACAGGGACAGAAGCCCTGCTGGCAGGATCCTGGGGGGTCCTCTCTGAGCCAGTGGAAGAGCCTTCACCTCGCCTTGTCTTAAGTTTTGAACACAAGTCACCTCCTTAGAATGTTTTGAAACTAAATTCTGCACGTCAGAGCTAATATTCAGCTCCCGAAATTGATCCCTAGGTAATAGTTGACTTAATCAAGCCCTGCCTTACTTCACAAAAGGCTTCAGGTGCTGAAGAGACACATAGTTCAGAAGAAACAGTGGGTGCCCACAGGCAGACAACATCCTGAAGAATTTCACAGTCAAAGCGGAAGGCAAACACAGTTGTTCTCACAGGGTAAAGGTCAGCCACAGCACCGTTTCAACAACACCTGGTTTTTCCCAAGAGGTGAACCTGAGAACCTGAGCAGCTCTCCCACAGTCTTCACACGGTTGGGGTGGGGGGTGTGTGTGTGTGACTTCACAGTTTTGTGGAAAATGGAATTAAAGTCTGCATTTAACTTAACGTAAAACATGTTGAAATCCATGCAGCTTTTCCATACTATGCACTCTGCATGGACATTTTGAAGACCCCTCATATTTTATGGTGTAGCAGACAGCACATAGTGACTCAGCTGTGGGGAAGTATTACATCTGCAACCGTATGCATAAAATATGCAGTGCAAAATCACTAGGAGGATGTCTCAGGAGTCAGGAGTCAGGGCTTTTTTTTTTTTTTTTTTTTTGAGAGGTTTTTGCTATAGGGTGCGTGCACTCACCAGACAGACAGAGAAACAGAAAGCAAGAAATCACCCCCCAGGGGGGATGGCCACACCACAATCCCTTCTCCTCCATTCTCCTCTCGGGATCTTGGGCATGCACGCACACACCCGGCGTGAGTTTAAGCCACCGGGTCTGGGACTCGAACCGCGGTTGACTACGTGGGAGTTCAGTGACATAGCCATTACGCTAACTGCTGGTCCCAGGAGTCAGGGCTTTGATTCACAGGCCTGGATGCAATCCCAGGCCTTGGCCATCACCACACTGCAGCTCACCAGGGCTGACCTGGCAGCCAGCATCATTTGAACCATGGACGCTCGCGTGTCCCTTAGATGGCCGAATCCAGTCCCTCTCGTTTTCATTTTGTTCCTAGAGGCACCTTGTAGATATCTATTTGTCTATCCCTAGATACCACCTGCACCCAGGACAGTTCCTGGCAAACAGAGCTTGGGCAAATTTTGTAATCAGTTAAACTGGCAAAAATAAAGGGAAACTGCTGAGATCTTGGTAGAATGTCTAACTTACCATTCCTGGGAGTGGGCTGCACCCGCGAGAACAGGGGCAAGGCTCCAAACAGCATGCCCCATGCCAGCCACCAGCAAACTGCCCCCATAGGTCTTCAGTTTAGCCTCCTAATCAGATGTGTCTTTGGGCAAATGCACACAGGGGCTTGTCTGCAAGGGTGTCCTGAAGCTACAGGCCAGGCCTTCCTATGGCAGGAGCATAGAGCCCTCCCTCCTCCCTGCCACTCCTCCACCCCTTGGGACAATCAGCCAATCATGAGCTTCTCCTGAGATCAAACCCTTCCTCAAAGAGCTCTGAGTTCTTATCTGCCTCTACCATGCTTCAGGGCCATTTCTTCCAAGAAGAAACTAACCTAAAATATGTTCATTTGTAGGAGAAAATATGTAAATCGCCTAACAGTCTTGGCAGTGGTTCCACTGAAGCTCAGTCCTCGGTAATGGAGGGACATCATGGAATACTTTTAAAGCCATTTTCAAGCTGGAGAAAGTTTTCTATACTTGAGACTAAAGTAAGAACTTCGCCTTACACAAATCGCAAATCACTTTCAAATTATAAATGGCATCTTTCTTTTCTATAATCCCCCTTGCTTCTCATGGAGCATAAATGGCATCTATCTTTTCTATAATCCCCCTTGCTTCTCATGGCTTGAAAATAAAATATCTATAGCTTAATATTCAAGTATCTACTCCCTACCTGCTCTGTCTCTGCCAAGTCACAGACAGCAATGTCACTGCAGGGCTATGAAGGCCACAGCAGAAGCTACCTTTCAGCATCACAAGGTCTGGTATTACTGACTTTTCCCTCCTCAAATAACATAATGAGCAGGAAATTAACATACCCACCCTTACATTGATCCTGTCCCAATGTCATTGTTAAGAAGTGCACAACATACATTTTCTATTGGGGGCGAGGTTCTTAAGCCCATATATATATATATATACATGTGTGCTCACTAGAAAGACAGAAAGTGAGAAATCACCATGAGGGATGGCCATGCTTCAAATCCCTTCTCCGTTCTCCTCTAGGAATTTTTGGGCATGCACATGTACCTAGCATGAGTTTTAAGCTGCCAGGTCTGGACCCTGAACAGTTGTCAGCCAAGTAGTGCACGATTACCTTGTTATCCTGTGCTCAGCCCCACCTGCCAGCCTCACCTCCATACTGTCCCATCAGCTAGAGTGGCTTTTCCACAAGGAGAAAACATGTCAATGTAGACAATATTTCATAAACTGAATCATCTTGAGAAACCCTTCTGCTACTGGGAGTCATCAGATCATAAAAAGTAGGTACATGCAAAGGCAGATTGAGGGCAGGCCCCCATGGTCCTGGGTATGGTCCCTCCAAGGGCACCCAGAGAGCTGAGCTGGCACTTCAGTTGTCCAGTGCAAAAGGAGGCCCCCACTCATGTCATTCAGAGTAGATATGCCACCAAACACCCAAAGACCGCACTGGGCATCATGTCAGGACTTGCCATGACCACCTGCTTCAGAAATCGATGAAGCCCCGGGACCAGCGGTTACCATAATGGCTATGTTGCTGGACTCCCATGTAGTCAACCACGGTTCACGTCCCGGACCCGGTGGCTTAAAACTCACGCCGGGCACGTGTGCGTGCGTGCCCAAGATCCCGAGAGAACAGAGGAGAAGGGATTGTGGCATGGCCATCCTCCCTGGGGGGTGATTTCTCGCTCTCTATCTCTCTGTCTTGCCGGCAAGTGCACGTGCCCTATAGCAAAAACCTCTCAAAAAAAAAAAAAAAAAGAAAGAAAGAAAAAAGAAATCGATGAAGCCCCAACTAGGGAGTATGTAATGAAGTGCCACATCCCACCTTGGTCTGTCCTCCAAGGGCTCCTCCTGCCCTCTGCCCTTCATGGGGTTAATTTGTGAATGGTTCTAGAAAGACGCTGACTCAGCTCTGACTCTAGCTTATGTCTGGCCATCCACTTTTCTTCCTTTGGAGGGGCCCCACACCCTGGAGACATGACTAGGATTTTCTCTGTAAGGAAGACAACCACAATCTGGTTTTAAAAATTTATTTCTTTATTTCCTTCATGTGGGAGGTAGAGGCAGGCACACCCAATAGGTTCAACACACCATCACCCTCCCCAAGCCCTGCAGCCATCCTGGATGGGATAAGGGAGAACTGGGATGCAAACCTTCCCTCATGGTCTCCAGCAACATGCAGCAGTACCTCTTCTGCTTGCACCACCACGGCTGGACCCAAATCAACTATTTTAAACTGGAACTTGTATATTAAAAAATGATTATGGTATATAGCTATAGATGTTTTCAAGAGCCTAAATTTTTAAACAACTCCAGGCTGGCAATCCAGGATTGTCTGGCCACAGAGTTTTGGCCCTGAAGTCACTGGATAAGTAGGTGTTCTGGGACACTCGGACCAGACCTCTTGGAGCAGTGGAACCATGGAGCCTGTATCACATGCCACTATGATTAGGCAGCCATTGGCTAAGCAGCACAGATCCACTTGGAATAAATCCGATTTCTGTTGGTTTGATTTTTCATTTGTTTCTTTATTTTAAATAAAATGCCCTCCTGAGAGAGAGAGAGAGAGACAGAGAGAGAGAATGTGAGAACCACCACCACCCTCTTCCCCTCTGCCCAAGGGGAGATGGCCGCACCACAATCACCACAATCCCTTCACCTCCATTCTCCTCTCAGGACTTGGCTCGGCACTCATGTGCCCAACATAATTTTCAAGCCACCAAGTCTGGAATTCAAACCATAATGTCAGCCACATGAGATCCAGCAACCTAAACCTGTGCATCATCTGCTGGCCTTAAATGTTTACACACACACACACACACACACACACACTTCTTAATTGCCAGAGGGCACATGTGTTCACCAGAAAGAGATGGACAGAGAGAAGAAGAGGAAGAAAGCACTACCCAGTGGGGTGTAGTCACACCACAATCCCTTTTCTTCTTCATCCTGTTGGGATTTTGAGCATGCATGAACATGTACCTGGCATGTTTTTCAGGGCCAGGAACTGAATCATGGTTGAACATGTGGGACCCAGCTCTGTTAACCACTAAGGTATAGAGCTGGCCTCTGTAACATTTTTTTACTTTCATGAGCCAGAAAGACAGGCAGAGAACACACTTCCAAAAAAGTTCATGCCATGATTCCCCACTCTCCCCACCCCCCAGCCTCAGCTAGCCCTGCGTCATGGGGAAGCTGGTATCTGGTATACTCAGGGGGGTCTCCAGACACAAACCTTGAAGCATCCCTTGTGGGTCAGCCTCTTAGAGCATTGTGTTTCACCCCTGCACCACCACCCAACCCCTTAGGTAACATCATTTTTAGAGCATAAAATAGTTTATCAAACCATAGATTATTAAACCAACCCCCAAATAATTTGCATTGAAGATACTCTGTATTTTTAAAGTGTAACCACACTAGAACACCTTTGATTATAATCTTTGTGTAAATTCCTATAAGCAGAAGTATTCAGCTGGGGAGGGGTGTGTGTCATACTTTTTATGACTTTCCGCAAGTAATACATCCCAAATTGGGCTCCAGCAAAGTGACATCAGTTTGCATTCTCACCAACAGTATCTCAGTAAGACTAATTTATTTCCTAATCAACTTAGTTATAACAGATAATCTTTATATCCTAGTTTAACAATTACTCTTAGAAAAAGCCCTTGGACTAGCAATTAAGGTGCTGGTTTCCCACATGGCTGACTGTGGTTCAAGTTCCAGACCTGCTGGTTTGCTTTCTCTCTTTCTCTCTGGTGAGCACATATGCCCTATAGCAAATTAAAAAATGATGACAACAACAAAATAATAAAATGAAATATTTCCAAAAGAAAAAGCCCTAAAAATCCCCAAACTCAAGCCTCCTACTGGACACTCCCTACTAGAATCAATATAAAGGTACATAAGTTGGCAAAAGGGCAGGTGCTCTCTGGCTTCTCCCCACACAGAGCTTCAACCTGCCCCTATCCTATCATCTTGAAATCACAGACTCTGCCATGGGATCCTGGGACCTGAAGCTGGGATGGACCTGGACTGCAGAACAGGGAAGGTGCGGTCAGGTTGGGGGCTCATCAACTCATACTCTCCCCAATGAAGACGGTTTCCCTGGATCCAGGTTTCTAGTGGAAGTAGTGGAAGGGCTGTGGGCACTCAGCTTCCCGCCTGGAGTCGCTTCAGTCAGATCACTAGCTCAGTCTGATCTCTGCCAGTGCTCAGGGCTAACCCATCAGCGGTCAAAAAAATGAGGAGGGATGAAATAATTTTTAAAAGTCAAACAAATCCTGGAACTAAAACACACAGGAACAAGATGAAAATGCAATTGCATCAACAGCAGAATTGATAAGGCAGAATTGATAAGAGTATTTGGAAATATACAAGAAAGAGGGGAAAAGTTAAACAAAAAGAAAAAAAGCTTATGAGATCTTCGGGACACCTCCAAAAGTGCAAATATTCAGCTCATGAGAGGGATAGAGGAAGGAAGAACAGGGTAGAAGGCTGATTTAAAATAGCAGCAGGGCCGACTCCATAGCACTGCACACTGCAGTAAAGCACTGCTTGAGAGAAGGTGGATTCCATATGACGACAATGGTTCAAAGCCCAGCCAGGTCATGCCCAGTATCCAACAGACCAGAGGACTGCATGAAAGAGATAATAGCATGTCTAGAGGGTGCTCCTTTCTTTCCTTTTTCACATACATGTTTACACACTCTATAATGAATAAAATTAATAATAATGATCATGGTAGTAGAAAACTTCCCAAACCCAGAAAAAGATAAAATATTCAGGTTCTCAAAGGCAAAGGTTATCCTTTTTATTTGATCTTATTAAGACTACCCTTAATAGTTAGTGTAATGAGACCAGCAGTTAGCGTAATGGCTATGTCGTTGGACTCCCACGTAGTCGACCGCAGTTCGCGTCCCGGATCCAGTGGCTTAAATTCACACCGGGCGTGTTTGTGTGAGTGTCCAAGATCCTGAGAGGAGAATGGAGGAGAAGGGACTGCAGTGTGGCCATCCTCCCAGGAGGTGATTTCTCGCTTTCTGTCTCTCTGTCTTTCTGGTGAGTGCATGGACCGTATATCAAAAACCTCCCCCCACTCCCCCCCCAAAAAAAAAAACTACCCTAAGATGTGTCATATTCAGAACATCAAGGTCAATTTCTATTCAATACAGTAGTAATATCAGGCAAGAGAAAAAAACAAAAGATACTCAAATGGAAAGGAAATTAAACTGTCTGTTTACTGATGACATCATTTTATTTATAGAAAACTGTTAGGATGCCATCAAAAACTGTTAACATAAATAAAAATTCAGTAAAGTTGCAGGATACGAAACCAGCACAGCTTAGCCACAGTGGGGCATGCTGCTGAGATGTAGCTGCTTTGCAGGCTGTGACCATATGGAAGCCCAGGTTCAATCCCTGGTCCAGTCTAAAGGCTGGGCACCTGGAATGAGTTGTAGTCCTAGGGACTTGGGAAAATGAGGTAGGAGGATCCCAAGTTTGGGCTGGCCTGAGTAACACTGCAAGACCCTGTCTAAAAATGAAGCTGGGTGCGGTAGAGAGTCCTGTACTCACGGCTGAGAGGCTGAGACAAGAGAAATGCAACATGGTGAGGTCCTGTCTTAAAATAAGTAAAACAAAAGATACAAAACTCAGCACTTTTTTTTTATGCTAATAGTGAACTGTTTTTAAAAACATCTCATTTACAACAGCCACAAAAATAAAATAAAGCTTTTAGGAATAAATTTAACAAAGGAGGTAAAAGATCTCTCTACAATGAAAACTATAAATCACTGATGAAAGAAAGTGATTATGAATGCTAAAAATTATCTCACGGTTATGTGTTAAAGAAAATAATGTTAAAATGTCCATACTACCCAAAGCAGTATACAGATATAATCCCTGTTGAAATATCAATGACAGAGGAAAGAAAATTCTAAAAATTAATATGAAACCACAAAAGAACAACAGCCAATGAAATCAATGAAAAAGAACAAAGTTGGAGGCATCACACTGCCTGACTTCAAAATGCACCACGAAACTACAGTAACCAAAACAGCAGGGTACTTGCATAAACATGGACGTGCAGATCAATGAAATAGAATGGAGAACCCAGAAATAAATCCACATACTTACAACCAATATTTGACAAAGGTGCCAAAAACACACACTGGAGAAAGCAGTCTTTTCAGTAGTGTTGGGAAAACTGTTCATTTACATACAGAAGAAAAAGTTTAGATGCCTATCTCACAATATACAATAATTAACTCAAAACTAGATTAAAAACTAATTTAAACTATGCAACTACCAGGAAAAAAAGGTAAGGGAAATGCTTCATGACACTACTATGGGCACAAGTATGGGTAAGATCTCAAAAGCCAAAGCTACAAAAGCAGAACTGGGCAAATGGGACTTCGAACTAAAGAAGTTCTACCTAGTAAAGGAAGCAGTCTACAGAGTGAAGAAGCAAACTGTGCGAGAAAAATATTTGCAAACTATCCATGTAACAAGGGACCGATATGCAAAATATTTAAGGAACAAACTCAATTATCAAGAAAACAAATAATCCAATTAAACATGGACCTAGATCTGAATACACACTTCTCAAAAGAAGATGTACAAATGGCCAACAGGTATATGAAAAATGCTCAATATCAACATTCATCAGGGAAACGCAAAGCAAAACTACAATGAGATATCACCTCACACCTGTTAGAATGGTTAACATGGTGGTAAGGATATGGAGAAAAGCGAACACTGATACATTCTTGGTGGGATATAAATTATACAATCATTATGGAAAGTAGAATGGATGCTCCTCAAAATAGTAAAATAAAAAGAGGGGCTAACAGATAGCATAATGGTTACATGGCTGGACTCCCAAATAGTCAGCCATGGTTCAAGTTCCGGACCCGGTGACTTAAAATTCATGCCAGGTGCGTTTGTGTGCATGTCCAAAATCCCAAAAGGAAAATAGAGGACAAGGGTGTGTGGTGTGGCCATCCCCCCTGAGGGGTGATTTCTCGCTTTCTGTCTCTCTGTCTCTCTGTCAACACACATGCCTTATAGCAAAAATCTCTCAAAAAAAAAAAATACCAGAAATAGAATGACCAGATTATTCAGCAATGCCACTACTAGGTATGTATCTGATGGCCTTGAGGTCTGTATTTCTAAGAGCTGTCTGGACTCTCATATTACTGCAGCACTATTCACAATGACCAAGACATGAACTCAACCTAAGTGACCATCAAAGGGTGAATCTTAATAAAGAAAACGATGTCACACCCACTAAAGTGCAATACTATTCAGCCATTAAAAAAACGAATGGAATCCTGTCATTTGCAACAACACGGATAAGCCTGGAGTAAAGTCATGCTTCCTGAAATAAGCCGGACATAGAAAGACAAATACTGTATGTTCTCACATGTGGAATCTAAAAACCAGAGTAGAATGGTGGTTACCAGAGGCTGGGGTGGTGAGGGAGGAAGGTGGATGGGGAGATGCAGGTCCAAAGATATATCATTACAGTGAGATAGGAGGAGGAGGAAAAGAAAGGAAGGTAATGTCCAGAATAGGCAAGTAGTAGAGACAGGTTTTTAAACAAGTGATTGCTGAGACTGAGAAGTAGGAGAGGACTACAAGAGAGGAATGACTAGTAATGTTCAAGATTTTCTTCATTGGGTGATGAAAATATTCTGAAATTGATTGTTAGGATGGTTGCACAACTCTGTGAACATACTAAACCTGAGTTTTAGATGAGTGAACTTTACATGGTATGTGAACTGTATTTCAATAAAGCATTAAAAAATTACAGAATTGCATCTTTTTAAAATGATGGATACTCTGCCAGTTTGGCAATGGATATCAAGAACTTGAACATCAGTAAATATGTTCTCTGTCTTCTGGCAGAAGCAGAATCCGAGCCCCAGGACTAATGCTGAGGCCACCTGCTAAGCTGCAGGAGCAGAATCCTGGCACCAGGCATGGCACGACACTATAAACTTAGCTTGGGGACCTCAATGGTCAGCAGGTCTCTGCTGGACTAAGGAAAGGCTGCAGGAAGGCAGCAGGGCATTTAGAGGTTATCCATGAGCAAGTAGATCAGGAATTCTTAGGTGTCCCTTACTTGGCAAAGGTCAGCCTCCAAACTACTGGGCTGTCAGAAAAGTCATGATGCATTCTGCATAGAAAAACAGAAAAAATATGTCGGGGCCAGCAGTTAACATAATGGCTATGTCGCTGGACTCCCATGTAGTCAACCGCGGTTCACGTTCCAGACCTGGTGGCTTAAAACTCACGCCGGGCGCATGTGCGTGCGTGCATGCTCAAAATCCTGAGAGAACGGAGGAGAAGGGATTGAGGTGTGGCCATTCCCCCCTGAGGAGTGATTTCTCGCTTTCTGTCTCTCTGTCTCTCTCTGTCTGCCTGGCAAGCGCATGTGCCCTATAGCAAAAACCTCTCCAAAAAAAAAAAAAAAAAACCAGAAAAAAAATGCATGGCTTTCTTGACAACTCAGTAGCTTAAACTGTGGCTACAATGGGGACAAGAGGCCTTGAGCTGGGGTAGGCCAGGTATGGGCTGCCTCACCTGCCCCATTTGAGACAGATGATTATACACTCATGGCCAGTGAAAACATTTCTCTAAAATCCAGAAAGCTATTTTAAAAGAGATCTTAATATTTGTACATGTTAGTCTTGAAACGAGTTGATTTTTTCAAATTATGTTTGCTCCTTTAGATGTACAAACAGCTATATCCTGACCCAACAAAATGCCACGCATTGTACTGCTCCACAAGTAGCACTGTACCTGGGCAGTCGGGGCCTTCCATCACTCCCGCCGAGCACCTGGCAATGCTTTGAGCCACAAGCAGGTGGGGCTCAAAGCAAGTTTTAACAGAATCAGAAACAGACGCAAGCTTGTTTGCTCCCAATCCAGGCTTCTCTAGTTACATTCAGAGAAGAAATCCTGGACACCCATAAAATCATTAAAACCAGCCAGATGTGGGGGTCTTCAAAAAGTTCGTGAAAGATGCAACTGTGAGAAAAGTATACGTGGATTTCAAAATCTTTTCTACTACAATAATCTCACCTTAATTCCATTTTTCCATGAACTTTTAAAATTCCTCTCGTATTTGATAATAAACATTATACAAACCAAATGTAAATCACCAATACCTTTTCTTTAACAGAAATAAAATTTTATAAACTATTTTCAGATATTGTTTCATTTTGCATTATGGTTTTTTATGGTTTGTCACTGTAGCCGGAATTAATTTTTTTTATAAGACAAAGAAAGGAGATGATTTCAAAATATGAGTTTCACAAAATATTATGTCCTATTGAAACATTATTAAACATCAGAAGAGTCATACAAACTCATTGGTTTTACCAAATAATAGAAAAACACCCCCAAGTTTTTCTTTTGGTGAGTTTTCATTTCTTCATTTTGTCTTAAGCAGCTTAGATCTGACTTTGCAATATAATATTAGGACGATGTGCATGAAGTCCACCTTCATGGTCTAGATGAGATCTTGCTGCAACCAGAGTCCTGGCAGGTAGGCTTCAGGAAGGAGAAAGCAGCCATCGCACTGAGCCAGCTCTGACAGAACAACACAAACATGAGCTCGCCACTTAACACAGGTGCAACCTCGCCAAGTGTCCTTTGTTCCTACTCCAGAGGCATTCTTCCTAGGATGACAAAGCTGAGGCACCATGGAATAAAGAACTATGAGGAATTAAAACCAAAGACCCGAACTGGCTGCAGGGAGAAGTTGAGAGGAATGTAGGATGAGCTCAGAGCAGGCTCAAGTCTTCCAGAGGCTGACAGAGCCTCCAAAACAACAGTCCTCTCGTAATGGCACCAGTCGAGGCGACGGGACAGGAGCAAGGACGGGTTGAGCAGGCTGCAGCACAAGAGCTACTGGCAGTGCTACCACATGTTGCAAGGGAGAGCGCTGAGCTCCAGGGCCGACCCCTTGGTTAGTTCTGATGACTACACCAACTCTGAATATGTGAGGACTTTTACAACTTCAGTACAAAACTGCTACTTAAAGTCTGGGTAAATAAATCCTAACTTTCCAATGTCTTAAAAGCAAAACAAAGCAAATATGAGTAATATGAACTCACATGTTTACCCAACTGTGTTTCATCCATTCAACTTTTAGCTAAGGTATCACAGGGGGAGACGTAAGCACACAGTCTAGTTTGGTGGTGCTCCAAGGACACAGGCAGAGCGCTCAGGACACACCCCCACTGCCTCACCCTCAGGATAAAGGTCTCTGCTGAGGTGGAGCTAGGACAGTGCCGGGATGAAGTACTGCAGGGAGACATCTTCATGAAGCAAATCAAAATGGATAATCTTGTGATTCACAATATCTGGGAAGAGAAAAACCTATTTAAATAACTCATTGATGGAGCTGGCCTGTGGCCAGGGAACTGTATCCCACATGGCCTACTGCAGTCTGAACGCCAGGTCCTGAGCTTAAAAAAACACACCAAGAGTGTGTGAGTATGTGCCCCAAATCCCAACAGGATAGAGAAACGGAAGAGACTGCAGCACGACCACACCCCATTGCAGTGTTTTCTCCCTCTCTCTGTCTCTGTTAGGTGAGCAAACACATCCTCTGGCAATTAAAAAATTAAAACCAAAAACAACGCATTGCAGTACTCCAACTTTTATCCCTCATCTCAGAACTGCCTTTGCATTCTGCACCTCCTGTGGATGTGTGGGTCTTTTCCAGGGCACCTGTGAAGTCTATGGTCTCTTGCTCTGCAACTACTCCAGCCACATCATGGCTCCAGGGAGGCAGTGATGCTACCCAGGCCTCTGGTGCAATTCCCAGAAGGCAGGCTGACCCAAGTCAAGGTCCTTCTGGGAAAGCAGCCTTCACACTGAGTGATGGGTGTGTGCTGGGAAGGCCAAGCACCCATGATCCCCAGCACCTGGGACAGGCCGTGTCACACACTAGAAAGTGGGAGGAGCACCTGCATCTCAGTCATCCTGCACACCTCAGGAAGTCCACGCCAGGTTCTGCACTGGGTGGCACTGAGCGTGAGACCAAGCTGGGAAGCAAAGAACATGATGGTGAAGGTAAGGGAGGGCACATGGCACGACAGTCCGAAAAGGCAGAAAAGCAGGAGCCGCTGAGCAGAGCAGTGCACAGGTGGGAGGGCAACTGTCCAGACCTCTGTGGTAGAGAAAGACATGGCTGCTAAGTAACAAGAAACAGTGAGGAGCCATCACAGAGACCAATCCAGGAGAATGAGAGGTCGGGGAAGGGCCACAAGGACAAGCAGGAAGACGGACACTCCTTAGGAAGTGGGGTAGGGTCTGAGGGCCGAGGGAGTGTCCTGGAGGGAAGGACAACTGACTTGACCTCTGGCAGAGGCTACTCACAGAGAAAAAGAGGCAGCAGAAAAGAAGGTTTGGTGGAGAAATGAAAAGGTATGAGAAGTTCAAGGTAGGTTTTTTAAAAAATGTTATTATATCACACCTTGGTCCATCTTTGTCTGCCACATGTGAATACACCAACGTGACCTTTCAGAGAGTGCTCAGCCGCCTTTGCAGAGGCGCTCTCCTTGCTCTCACTGGGCTTGGGCAATTGCCCACAACCGGCAACCCCGAGGGCTGACACGGGCAGTGGGGATCTCCACACCCAAGTTCCCACTCTGCATAGGAGAGGTTCTTTACACCCTTACTACTCAAACCTTGTTTGTGAGTACCAGAAGCCAGCATCACCCAGGAGCTGCCAGAAATGCAGCCATAAGACCCAGCCCAGACAGTCTGGACAAGATCCTAGAAGGCTGCTGGACAAGATCCTGGAGACTCGCATGCATACCAAGGCTCTGAGATGTGCCATCTCCACCTTTATGAACCCCACACTGCAGGGGGGCTGCCGGCATGCTTAGCCCTACCATGTGACCCACCATCTGCAAAGCTGCTCAGGACATGGCCAGGTGGGTAGTTGCCTCTCCCCCAAGATCTCCCTGAGATCCAACTACTCTCACCAATGTGGCTTGGTCATGCTGTAATCCTTTCTCCTCCATTTTTCCATCCTGTCGAGATCCTGGACACACATATATAGGAACCCTGCATGTTTATTTTTGGTGAGGGCTGGGATTCAAACTGCAGTCCACCATGTGGGATCCAGTTTTCCATGTGCAGCACTTAACTACTGCATTACAGGGCTAGCCTCTCTAGATACAACTCGAAATCCAAGGAAATTTTTAAAAAGCAGCTGTCCTAGAAAGTTAGAGTCCCCATGACTGAACACTTTGCGTTTACAAGACTGCATGCAATCTGTTAGACAAGAATAGACTAATGCACTTAAAATACGAAAGACGAAACAGGCAAACTCACTGCAGCAGGCCTTTGTTGGATTCACTTGTTGTCCAGCAAGAAACTGCAGGAGCTTCTTGATGTCGATACGCACTTCGGCCATCTGTTCTGGGTTTCTGTCTTGAGAGGCACTTCCAGAGGCTAAAATGACAGGAATGTGTTCAAACATAGCATCTTTGGTTGTAACAGGGAGCCTGAATATAAACAATGTAGTTTAATACTTTAATAAGTGCTGCACCTTACCACTGCTTTTAGCATCCTGGGGAAACATCTGTAAGTTATAAATGTCATTCATGAAGAAAGCATTTACTAGATCCTACCTATGTAAAATACTGGAATAGTTTCTAGGAGTCTTCACTTGTAAGGACTTAAGATAAGACACAATCTCCCCATTGAGGTCACAGAGAACTGTATCATTAGTACTCTCTGTGTATTTAAGAGCTGAAATGTAGATAGTTAATGCAAGGCCTCTGATCTGAAAAAGAATTTTAAAAAAGGAAAACATCCTTTCAACTTCTAAGAAAATGCCAAAGGTAAGTCTTGCTTTGTGTGTATTAAAATAAGGAAAATGAGTGACACTAAAATAAGTCATTTCACACTTCATCGCATACATTCACTGTGCTAGAAGAACATACTCTTCACAGTGAAATAAAAATCCCTTGCAATGCTTGGGACCAGCAGTTAGCGTAATGGCTATGTCACTGGACTCCCACAGTCGACCATGGTTCTAGTCTTGGACCTGGTGGCTTAAACTCACGCCGGGCGCGTGTGTGTGCGTGCCCAAGATCCCAAGAGGAGTATGGAGGAGAAGGGACTGTGACGTGGCCATCCCCCCTGAGGGGTGATTTCTCATTTTCTATCTCTCTGTCTGTCTCTGTCTGTCTGGCGAGTGCACACGCCCTATAGTAAAAACCTCTCCAAAAAAAAAAAAAAAGAAAAATCCCTTGCAATGAATGCTCTGCTAAAATGTGTGTTTACAGTCACACAAACTTATATTAATAAATCTTACTTCTAAAGGTGACAGGCCTGTTCTTGTATATGTGTGCATTGTAGGATGACCTTCCCCTCGTTAGCAGGTACTTGTTTCCTGGTGCATGCCACCTGCTGCATCCTCACACACTAGCTCCAATGTGGGCCCTCTTGGCTCGTTTCTACTAAACTGCTCAATCCCCTTGCTTCCATTGCTGGCTAAACTGATCCTATAGTCCGTCCCTGCTTCCCTTATATGAAACGAAAAATGCAACCCATTGAGAAGAGTTTTGTATTCACTAATCTAATTTGGTAAGTATTAACACGACCAAAGCAGGAGAAAACACAGAAACACGCTTCCTTCTGATTCCAATCCAGGTGAGAAATTGGAATCTTCAAGAGCAGAATAGGAACTGAACAGCTGGAAGGGGTCAGCCCTATAGCTCAGTGGTTAAGCACTGTGCAAAGGAAACTGGATGTCACATGGCTGATCAGGGTTCAAGTTCCAGCCCAGTAGGCTTGAAAAACATGCATGTAGCACACAGGATCCTGATGGGATGGACAATTAGAGGAAAATGGATTGTGGTATGACCAGGCTTTGTCGCTATGTCCCTCATGTCGGGTGTGCACACCTTCCGGTATTGAAGGCTTATAGGTTATTGAGCTTGACCTCATTCCACAGAGGAGGAAGTAGCCCTGTGCAGACCACTGGGTGGCAGGCAGCCCAACCGACCCGGGCCCACCACAGGGACAGGCAGTTCAGTCTCAATCTCTTGTTATCTCTCTGAGCATTAGATAAAGTCAACTGAATTTCAGTATTTTTACAAGATACCTGAATAGGTATGTTATCTGGAACAGCTTACCAAAAGCAAAACATAACCCACTAGAAAACTTACCTAATGGAGGATTTCCCAGATCTTTAAAATGAGTTGTCACACATACTAATTCAGTTTCTATCTTCAAGTTCAATTCTCCATTTCGGTTTGCTTCAATAACCTGCAAATTGAGATTTTACAGTCTTAAAAAAAAAAAAAAGAAAAAAGAAAGAAAGAAAAAGAAGGAGAAGAAAGGAAAAAGCCCCAGGGGCATCACTATCCACCAAACCTGGTGACGCCGTATCCCATTAAACCTTAGGATACTTCAGAGACCCATGTATTAACAGCCACAGTGAGAAGACAAGTCCTGAGAGCTGAGAACACAGAGCTCCTCTCCCACAACCTCCTGCAGAGTGGAGAGCTGTGTGTGGCCATGAGAACACAGGTGGCCTGAGAAGGACTGCCAGGAGACCATGGCCAGGCAGGGCTCCAGGGAGGCCTGGGCAGAGCCCAGTTGAAAAGAGCCTGGCATTGAGAAGGAAGTGCAGGAAGTCAGAACCTCGATTGACCAGGATAGGCACCCTGGGCAAAAGAGGCAATGAAGTCTTTAATGAAGGAGAGAAGAAAGTGGGCCAAATATCAGAAAGTCCTGGGTGGTAGCTACAAAAGAGGTTGCATGTTTTCATATTTTGTGGTTACAAAGAACAGAGGACCTAGTGCTGTGAAGTGGGTACACTACCACTCCTCCAAGGAATCCTTCCCCTAAAAATCTGGAAAAACCATCTGAAACAACGTCGACCAAAGGAATGTAGTTGAATCCCATACAAAGATATTCTGAAAAAAGGAAACGGAAATAGGAGTGCCAATACAGCACACTTACAGACCTGAAATCATTCTGTAAGGCAGAGGCAGAATGCAACCCATTATTCCAAAATGAAGAAAGGAAATGAATTAGGAAAGTTCAAAAATGAAATGACCAGACACCATGTATATATCATGAAAGAGCTAAGAAGATAATTAGAACTGTATGGAAAAATGTCAGAAACAGACACTAAACTAGAAGATAAAAACGAAAAGGCACCTGCTATGGTCTGAATGTCTCTTTTAAAACTCACATTGAAATTTAATTGCCATTGTGATAGAATTAAGAACTAAGACCTTTGAGGCCACAGTTTCCACCTTCATGAACAGACTGATGTTGGCGTCACAGGAGTAGGCTGGTTATCTCGTGAGCGACTCAGTTAGTGGGAGTAGGCTAGTTATCTCAGGAATGGGGTTCCTGAGAGAAGGAAGAGTTCGGGCCACTTCCTCTCTCACCCTCTCTCACCTTCCCACCTTCCTCCATGGGATGATGCAGCACAAAGGCCCTCACTAAGCCCTGGCACCATGCTATTGGGTCTTCTGGCCTCTAGAATCCTGACCTAGTAAACCTCTCTTCTCTTTCTCTCTTTTTTTCAGAGGATTTGCCTTAGGGTCACCAGAAAGAAAGAGAGACAAGAGGGAGTGGGAGGGAAAGTGAGAAATCAATCCCCAGGGGGGATGGCCATGCTGCAATCCCTTCTTCTCCATTCTCCTTTCGGGATCTTGGGCATGTACACACAGGTGCCTGGTGTGAGTTTCAAATCACAAGTCTGGGACTAGAGCCATGTAGGAGTCCAGCTACGTAACCACTATGCTATCTGCTGGCCCCAAATCTCTCCACTCTGTAAATTACCAGTCCATGTTATTCTGTCATAGTAGCAGGAAACAGACTGAGACAGTGCCACAGAGGGAAGAGTAGGAGCAACTGGGATGAAAAGGCAGGAAGTACAAACCACTAAATAGAAACAAAGAGATACAAAAGACCTGGAGGGGTGGAGAAGATGGTGAAGAAGACCCAAGTTCAATTCAAGCCCCAGGAGAAAAAAATCCTAAGCACTGGGAAAGAAGAAATGCCAACAGCTATCATTCAAAGCCTTCCTGGACCTGCACACTCAAGGGATGCCACAACCTGAAAAATACAGACAACTGGACTCAAAATAGAGAGGAATCGCCTCACCTCTCAAATGAATAAATCTAAGCTACTCAAAAGCAAAACAAAATCAAAATGGAATCAGTCTTTGACTGCAACAATACACACCAGGAGACACGACAGCAGTGAGTCAAGGATTTCATATCCAGCCACACTGACAAATGAACATGCGAGGACTAACAGAATCCTATTCCCACAAGTCATCCCTGAGTGATATGCTAACAATAAGCTTCAGAAGTGACTGAAACTAAAGCATAAGGACAGATGTGTGTTCTTTTAACTTACGTAAGCAAAACTGAACAAGGGGAGTTAGAGTCAGAGTAACATGGAATGATTTTATGCTCTGTTGATGCAGAGATTACAGAATAGGAGGGAGGGAGAACAAGAAGAGAATAGCAACTAGTGCCTTTTATAAACAGGCCTAACCATCTATCCTAAGTACACATTTAATATAACACAGAGCCTTCAGAATTTCATGAGAACATAACCATTTATTTACAGAATAAACTCAGATGTTGGAAAGTGAGGTTGCCAGTGTAGAAAGGTTTGGTCAGGCAACCAGGTCACAGGACTGAGTAAGCTGTCCTGGTGCCTGGTCTCCATTCTCCCAGCACAGCAGGGGAGGGGACTGAGGCCAGCTGCCTAACTCCACCATGTCTGGCTCCCAGGCCATTGTTCCCTGTCTCATCTCCTCCATTGGGTTCCTCTCTCCTGCTCTCCCTGCCCTGAGAGAGTCCCCACTGGTCAGAAAGGGCTCCTTTCCTACAAAGCACCTCCCTCCCTTGCCACCAACCAATTAACTCTTTTTTTTGAGAGAGAGATTTTTGCTATAGGATATGTGTGCTCCTGGGGCATGGCCATGCTGCTTATTATCCCAGTGGGGATGGCCATGTCACAATACCTTCTCCTCTATTCTCTTCTGGGAATTTTGGGGACACATGCACATGTGCCTCGCGCGAGTTTCAAGCCACTGGGTCTGAGCTCAAACTACAGTCGGCCACGTGGGAGTTCAGCACCTTAAGCACTATGCCACCTGCTGCCCCCCACCCCCATTAGTTCCTTTAAATGGATGGAACCTAGAAGTGAAGTACATGCCACAATGTGGTTGAGATTTTGCCAACCTGTCCATGGGACAGTGTATATCTTTCTGATGCTGGTATCTGCCCATCACTAAAGTAGAGCAGAACTCTGGAAAGCCATGTGAGGTTTGCTAGTCAGCATTCTGTTTAAGTGGTAATAAAAGAGTGCCACCTAGCAATGGGAAAGGTAAGTCCAGTAATCTTTATTTGTAGGGGCTATGCTCAAAACGTCTAGTGAGAAGAGATGAGAAAGACGAGTGGAGGGATGGAGAAGTGTCATAGGTAGATAGCCAGATAAGAGTGGGCAGCCCGAGATAAAGGCAGAAGGGCATCTGCCTCATTAGTCACAACTTATCAGGGGATACAGACACTCTCCAAGAACTTCCTCTCACCAGGCTCCGGTGCTAGGAAGGGAGAAGCTGACCTTGTTTTTATTTATTACCTATGCTTTCTTCAAGGAACCTGGGGCAAGTTGCTATCTTCCCTCCTGCCATCCCATATTACCGAGATGCCTGGTCTATATCCTAATTCTCACTGGGGCAATAATCTGACAGGTTGTTTCTATGTGGATGCTCATACCTTCCAAAGTCTACTGTGTAACTGGGTAATCAAATTCCTTAGATTCCTTACCTTATCTAAAGGAAAAGTATGCAAATATAGAGAGAAGCTAAAAGGGAGCTGGCTGCAATAACAGGCCTCCCCTCTTAAATATTCATGACAAGACCCACAATAAAAGTAACAACTAACTCCAAGCCTACTACAGTTGTCCTTCTCTGTCAGCTGCCCACTCACACATGCCTTTCTGCCAGGAGGGTGTATTTCTTTTCTATTAAAAATCTTTACTTTCCTATTAAGACCTCTTTTCCTACTTTACACATTTCTGGTTTTCCTTGTCTTTGGGCAGGTCTCTAATCAGAGATCTGGACCCACAGAGCTGAGAATTTCATACCATTGTAGCTCAACTCCCCTGTTGGCTAACAAAGGGTGGCCACCTACATGCTCTGCTTCAGTGGCCATGTTTAGAGCTCCTCATTCCTACTATTTAAAATGGGTGAACTCATTCCAGAAACAAAATGAATAAGCTATGATTTTTTTTTTTTCTTTAAACTGGGATGTACTCACATTTCTGAACTGTGGACGTCAAATAGTAAAACAGCCTGTAGAGTGGTCCGGCAGTCTGGTGGTTAAGTAAAGCCAGATGCCACATGGCCAACTGTAGTTTGAATCGTGGCCCTAGTGGCTTTTAAAAAA